CAATCACCACCCCAATCTATGGCAGATGTTATAAACATAAATGCTCTAAAAGGTACTGCCACCATCATGTAAAAATACATCCGGCTTGTTATTGTCTCTTCTCATGGAAATCTGCCAGCCTTAGCTGGTCTGGTGTACATGTGACTCTGGACCTATGCAGTCGACACTCTCAACTGCCATCTGGGCTGTTAGGGGTGGATAATAAATGCTGGCCTATCCAACAGTGTCATATCTGGAGAATAAATTTTGTTCCCGGCAATGGAGATTCAAACCTGATCTCACCGCACCCCCCCACTCTCCCTTACAATCACTTTCCAGTGGATTTTTTTTGTGTCAGAGGCCCACCCCTGATGTTTTCCAGCTGTGGTCTTGGAAAATATACCTGCCACTGCACCCTTCTGTCTCCCCATACCCATTGCCTAGCAGTGATCGGTGTACCAGAGATGGGAGGTATCCAAGACTGGAGAAAACCCACATGCTATTCTTGCTGCCATCAGCTAATGCCATGCTCAGCTGTGCACTGAGACTGGCACAGAGTACAAAAGCAGGGAGGTTCTGATAAATCCTTATAAAAGATCAGTTTGACCTCATGTGGCATGTGGTGTTCTGTCCACCACGTAGTGGATGAGTGGGAAGGTTTCATAGAATCATACAGCACAGAAACAACCCCTTCAATTCAACTTGTCCATGCTGACCAGATATGCTAAACTGATCTAGTCCCATTTGCCAGCATTTGGCCCATACCCCTCTTAATCCCTCTGCAGTCTCTTTTAGAAGGGGTTTATGAAAGAGTTTGGGGTGATTCACCTTTGAGAAGCAAAGGTTGAGAGGAGATTTAGTGGAGGTTTTCAAAACTACGAGAGGGGCTGAAAAGCATGTCTGGGGAGATACTGTTCCTGATGGTGGATACAGTAGGTCGAGAACCAGAGGACACCATTCAGTGAGGCTTGGCTAATCTAAATCCTGCCTCTACCTATCCCACCCTTTTAGATCTTGTCTAATTCAACCCTGAATGTATTTGATGCCTTGGCCTCTGGTATTCATAGAGAATTTCAGACACTCATGACCGCCTGAAATCTCTCCTCATCTCTGTCTCAGCTGTGTCCCCGATTCTATATCCTCCTACAAGGACAAACTTCCTCTCAATATCTACCCTGCATGCTCCCTCCAAATGTGTGTTCTGAGGAAGGGTCACCGGACCCGAAACATTAACTTTGTTTTTTCCCTTCACAGATGCTGTCAGACCTGCTGAGCTTTTCCAGCAACTTTGTTTTTGTCCCTCCAAATCTTGTTTGATTCATCTTTAAAAGAAACATCCTACCCTGACTTGGAAATATATTATCCTTCCTTCACTGTCATTGGATCAAAATTGTAAACTCCTTCCTCAATAGCAATGAGCACTTCCCACACAGACAACTCGCTGCAGTCTTTTCAAGGGAACCTATGGGTGGATGATGGACAATAACAGTGACAGACACTGAGCCTAAGATTCTGGGGCTTGTTTACATGTTGAAAAGTTCTCTGTCCCCACAAAGGTTATTTTAAACAATGTTTTTTTATTGACTTATTTTTTAAATTGATTGACTGTCACTGTAAGTTAATGTGCATTTTTTTCCTTTATTTTGAAACAGAATTATGGATTTGTGCATATGGACAACAAGGAAGCTGCAAAGGAGGCCATTGAGAATCTGCATCACTACAAACTGCATGGGGTCGCCATCAATGTGGAAGCCAGCAAGAGCATGACCAAATCCTCCACCAAACTCCATGTGGGCAAAGTGAGCCCCAACTGCACCAGCCAGGAGCTGCAGGCTAAGTTTGAGGAGTACGGCACTGTGCTCGAGTGCGACATCATCAAAGATTATGCGTTTGTGCACATGGAGAGGGGCGAGGATGCCATGGCAGCCATCAAGGGGTTGGACGGCACAGAGTTCAAAGGTAAAATTAACGGAATGCTGTTGTTTTAAACCATTGGGATTAACCAGCTGTTAAGGTGCTCAGCCCTGCAGCTGATGGTGAGGGCAGGGGTGTTACCATTTCGTGGTGTCAGTGACTTGTATGATCCAAAATTGCCATGCATAGATAACCTACATTAGGGCTTTTAATTATAATTGCTGCTGCTTGGGATCTGACGTATTGGGTCCAGCACCAGAAATAGCACCATAAGACCTTTTGCATCCACCTGTTTGATTTAGTGCTCTGTCCAAAAGACTGCACTCCCTTGGTGCCACACTGGGAGGGTCAAATAGCTTTCTATGCTTGATATTTGAAGTTGAAATTGAAACTATGGTCTTTACTTAGGACGTTTGAGAGCAACCCACTAAACCATATGAGACTAAATGGGTGGTTATTGGATACATTTAAGTACTTGGACTGTTTCCGTGTAAAGTTGGTATAAATTTTTCCAGTTTTTCTTAAAAAAAAACTGGGTCTGTTGAATCCATGTTAAATGTGCATGAGATGTTGACAATAAAGATCTGGTAATTTTTGTGGTTGCATTCTTTTGTTGAAGGCAGAGAAGAAGAGCAAAGAGGAAATGCTAATAAGGTGATCCCTGGCTGCGATGTGTTTTAAGCTATGTTCCTTACCTTGTGTCTGACCTCGGTAAGCCCATATCTGGACAGGAGACATCTATGTTACAACAAAGACATCATATTATTGGAAAAGACTGCTGACTCTGGAGGCTGGGATGATAAGGAAGCATTTTTTTTTCTCTTTCTTTATCCTTTCACGGAATATGGGCATTAACAGCAAGGTCAGCATTTGCCCAGCCAGATTTCCCTCAAGCTGGATGGCTTGCTCAGCTGTTGAAGGGCTGCTAAAAGTCATTCCTGTCATATGCAGGCCAGATGAGACCAGAATGGCAGATCTTCTTCATTAGTAAACCAGATGGGGTTATGTCACCGTTACTGAGACTAGCTTTCAGTTTCAGAATTATTTAATTGCAATCACATTCCTCCAACTACCAAGAAGGGGTTTAAACCCTAGAGTCTGGGCTTCTAGATTCCTAGTCCAGTGACATTTCTCTACAGCACCAATTTCTACTGCGAGCACTTCATCCTCCACTTTATCAGAAAATTAGGGACAGGTTGTGGTGAAATGGGCATGGGTGTAGTGGCGGGGTTTGGGAATGTGCATGTAAGAAACGGTCAGGCAGCACCTTGAGACTTCCCAAAGCAAATAAATATGGACTTTTTTTAGTGTGAAAAAGGCAATTTTGGAACACATTCACAAAAAGGTGTGATAATAATGCGGTGGGGTGGGGGGTAATCCCCTCAATGGAAAACAGAAATCAGCTAAATATCTCTAGTGCAGAAATCTTAATGTCAGGTTGTTATTCCTCTTGGTAGATAAGGTGCTTTTAAGAGAAGGTAAAGCAGGCAACAGAATACTGTGAATTTAATGTATTTGGCGTCAGAATGTTGATGCAATTGAAAGTTGCAGGCTACTCTGTGTGCAGTTTTGATCTCCCTTCTTTAAGGAAGGATGTTTGTGCCTTAGGGAGTGGTGAGAGGAAGTTTACTAGATTAACCCATTCCAGGTTTCAGTGTCTTAAAATAAAGATTATGTGGGCAATGTCATCTTTGTTTCTGGAAACTGCAGTTCCATACCTTTACATTGATGTGGCATTGAAAATGATGCGTGCGCAGTTGTTGGCATTGATGATGAACAGCCTTTTAAAGAACTGGTGTGGACAGTCTAGACAAATCGGTAGCAAGCATAAAACAGTAAAATATAGAAAAGTGTTTGAGTTACTTTTAAGTCATTGAAGAGTATTTTGGGAGTGCAGTTGTGTCACATGAAGTGGCATGATCTGATCATTACATTTGTTTTGATTTTGATGTATAAGACTAAATGATTCACGTCTCCCCACCTTTTGCCATGCATTTGCTCAGCTCACCTCGAAGTTTAAAGGGCAACGTGCGGACGACCTACAAAACCAGTTCAGATTACAAAGAAGATGTGCATGCGGCACACCTTGGATTATGCAGTCATCCAGTTTCAAAGCAGACACAGGCTTACATACTGTACTGTTTGAATCAAGCTGACCAATTCATAGGACGCTGAATTATTGTGTTAAGAGAAGTTATTACACTACCCTTAATCTTACTGCTCCATCTCTATAGTTGTGCCCTATCACCAACCTGGTTGCTATCACTGGGATTTGTATATGGTATATTACACAATGCATATTCATCACCATCACATTTGAACTCCCCATGCTTTCTTTCAATTGTAGACTAATTGAGAGACTTGAGAGGACAGGTAGGACTCCACTTTACATCTTAGCTGAAGGACAGCATCTCTGGTGCTGCAGAGAAAATAGTCAGCCTAGATGTTTCTCCTGAAGTATCTAGTCAGCCAGCTGACCCATAGAAAGCATTATTCGTAGGGTCTGTGAGTGCTTGGAGACTGGAGGCAGTAACATAGGGAGCACTGTGTCTCAAGATATTGTAATATACTGTACTGGGTAATGTTCAGTTATTTCCACTTTGTTTCCTCTGACCAAACCTGGCAATCAGACTGCTTCAGTGAGATTTTTGGTTTCATGGGCACCAGCTATCTTCCAGCACCGCGTACACTAGCTTGAGTACAGAGTGTTGATGAGCTAATTAATTCTGGTAAGCATCATTCTTGGTGCCTGATCACATGCTTTGATCACAAGTACTATAGCTAAATTTGCAGATGACTCTGAGGTAGCTGGGAAAGTAAGTTGCAATGAAGAAATAAGAAATTTACAAATGGATACAGATAGTTAAGGTAAATGGGTCAAAATTTGGAAGATATTTTGGAAGGGGGAATAGAAAAGCAACTTATCTAAGTGGAAAGAAACTTAAGAGTGCTATGGTGCAAAGGGATCTGGGTGCCATATTGTGCATGAATCACAGAAAATTAGTATGCAGGTGCAGCAGATAATAAAAAAGGCAAATGGAATTTTGGCATTGTTGCTAAAGGAATAGAGTATAAAAGTAGGGAAGTCTTGCTGCAGCTGTTCAAAGCATTAGTGAGACCATAGCTGCAGTATCATGTGCAATTTTGGCCTCTTTATTTGAGGGTTATATTTGTACTGGAAGCAGTTCAGAGGAGCTTCACGAGATTGATTCCAGAGGGGTTTGTCATATGAAGAGAAATTGAGCACTTCTAAGCCTATACCCTCTGGAATTTAGTGTAAGGAGAGATCTGATTGAGGCATATGAGATGCTAAAGAGCATTGACAAAGTCAATGTAGAGCAGTTGTTTCCTCTAGAATGAGAGATCATAGTTGAGCATAAGGCGTAGCAGATTTAAAACAGATGAAGAGAAATGATTTCTGTCAAAGGGTCATGAGTTTTTGGAAAAAATACTCCAGAGTGTGGTGGATACTGGGACATTGAGTAAATGTAAAGAATAGACAGACTGGTTTTTAATTAGTAACAAGTTGAAGGGTTATGGAGAGTGAGCAGGAATTTGGAGTTGAAGCCAAAATGCAATCAGCCATGATCCTATCAATGGCAGAGCAGGCTTGAGGGGCTGGATTGTCTATTCCTGCTCCTGTTCTTCAGTGTAGAAGAGGTCATTTGGCCCATAGTTCGATCAATAAACCCAACAGAAACAATGAAAAGTACAACATTTTTGTTCCTTTTTCCCGTAATTTTTATTTTCCTTTGTTTTAGTGTTCTTTCTTTAAAAAAGATTGCTCCATCCCTCCCTCCCAGTTCTTAAACTGATGACTTGAAATCATTGAAAAGAATGTGTTTTAGTCTCCTTGTTTTGTCTTCTTAAAGGCAAACGGATTCATGTTGAACTGTCTAAGAGTCGGCTGCGGGTACAGCCTGGGATGGGCGAGAAGAACACCTGTTTCCGTTGTGGGAAAGATGGCCATTGGTCCAAAGAGTGCCCTGCAGATCGACAGGAGATGGGCATTGGCTTTGCGCACGACTACCTTGACCCCTATGCCATGCACCACCGTTATGGGGAGCAACCCTTTTACGACAGCAGGTATGTCGATTACTACGAGAAGTACCGAGCTGGGGCATACGGAGCGGTGGGCACTCCATACCCAGACCGTTGGGGTACGCCCATGGCTGGCTACGGTGCTTCTATGAGAGAACGCATGCCCAAAGCATTGGAGGCATACAGCCAGAGCTCCATAAGCCAACCACCGACCTATTATGCCCGGGATCGGAGCCCTCTGCGGCGGCCGACTGCGTCGACGATCACCGACTACGCCACTGCCGCGACTGAGTATGCAGCTGCTGCAGCCGCTGCCGCTGCCACCAACTCTGACTATGGGGCGGCCACCTCCACTGCCGAGTACACAGCCAGTGACTACGCTGCCGCTGCTGCTAGCTACGCCGCTCAAGACTATGCTAGTGCTAACTACGCCACTGGCAACTACGCTGCTGCTACCACCACCGCCGACTATGCCAGTGCCAACTATAGCACGAGTGACTACGCTGCCGCCGCCGCCGCCTATGCGTATGACTACGGACATACCATGAGCAACAGTGGTGCCTACTCTACAGCGGGTACGACAGCAGAGGCCTTCGCGGAGCACTCTCAGTACTCTGCTTATTAGCCACAAGGTGAGTGGATCCTTTTTTAAGATCACTATAGTTTGGCTGCACGTTCTGAAACTGTAATTGGGCAGCTTGTCAATTCTGTGAATTGGCCCCACCTTCCCTTCTCCGTATTTTAACTTGTTGCAGTAAGGTTCCGGTTCTGAGAGTGGCGGTGTAGTGTTTCTGAGCGGGTTCTTGGAGCGCCGTTCCTGTTCTTTTTTTTTTGCGTGCGCGTGTTTTTTTTTCTTTTTTTAATTTTCTCGTTTCTGAAGTGTTCTGTTGTTTTTGCTCTGTTGAGAATGGTAGCTCGCGCGGTGTTGGTGCCTGCTTTCTCATCCTCAGGTCCTTTCCATGCACCAATGGGTCTCTTCCTTCCGCTGCCTACCAGACTAGGAGGGAGAGGAGAGGCGAGCAGGTGGGGGGTGGATGGAAGCTTTTCCTCCCGCCACACACGTCTACACTGTTGGATCGTGCTCTTCCTTTGTGACAGCGTGCCTGTACGCGCGGCACCTCCCATCGGCCTGGCTTCGGTTCCGATTTCTGCCCCGGGTAAATTTGCGTCCTGTTCGGTAGGTTGATGCCTTCCGTCTTAAAGAAAGACCGGCTTTTCTCACCGTTTGTCGTCCGTCGGCTACGCGGCCTGTGTCTGCGTCGCGGGGGCGAGTTCTCGGTCCGGTTTGAGCGACGTGCCGCTGATCTGGTTTGAGTGGGGCCACTTCGGGAATGTAGCGGGATGTCCAGCCACTGCCAGGATCGGTGGTGGGTTGGGTATGTGGGGATAGAAAAGAGTATCTTATCTTTCCTAAGGCAGAGGTTGATAATGCCGGAAGTGCGCTTCAGCTTGATTGGCGTCTTGTTTTAAGGTTTCTGCTGTGATCCGGGATTTCAAATCCCTGATGAAGATTTTCATTGCGAACAAACTCGTCTTTTCCTCATTTCCAGATACTGGCTTGGCCTGCTGTGTATTTCCTGTGTTTTAGTTGGTTTCATTTGCAGTTCTAGTGCATGCAAGGTGGCTGTAGTATTTAGTTAGATGCATGCCCTGAGTTAGTGCTTTTTCTCCCTCCTCTCTTCTTCCGCCCACCCCTCTTCTCATTCTTATGAGCTGTGGGGCCAGTGGTTGTTTTCACAGGTATGTCACTTACAACTTTTTCAGAATGCCCTGAGTCATTGGACTACGGTATGTAAACCAACCCTACCTTCCCCGCAACCCCATGTCTAATGTAAGTCACCACTGCCCAACAACAGAGGGGACCTCCCAGCCATCCACAGAGAATGGAGGAGTAGTCCATGCAGTCCCGCACCTGTTTGAGCGTTCCATTAAATTGTAACTGATCATCTAACTCAACGCCACTTTCTTGCACTGCCCTGTATTGCCTCAATTCTGAACTGTCAGTCTTGTATGTACTCAGTGACTGAACGTCTGCTACCCTATGGAGTAGAGAATTGAAGGATGCGCAATTCCCTAAGTGAGTGTGCCTTTAACTGTATTCTGCACATGTCCAGCCAAGGATAAGTATTGTCTCAGCATCTCCCTTACTGAACCTATTGCAAATTCTGTACAGTCAGACCTGGGTGCAAAAGGTGTCTCCTCAGCACAAAGAGGAATGTTACTCAGCCCATAGGCTAGCTCTTCACAGAAATTGCCCCAATCTGGTCCACTCTCCTATTCCTTCCCCTTAAGTATTCTCTTTTGAAAGTCGCAATTGAATTTACATCAGTCATTCTTTCAGGCAATACAATCGGAGAACAAAAATTCCCACTCCTGCCCCAATCTTTTTTTTTTCCTTCTTTCCCACTTACCTTGAATTGAGATTTTGCGGTGTGTATCTTCATGTCACTGGTCCCAGAAGCTTGCTGCTCTGATAAATGGAAAGTAGGTAAGTCCCAGGTAAGGTGGGAGAAGCAGCTCAACAGTGATTACTGTTTTGCATGACTGATGCAGGGATCAGTGGGGGGCATCCTTACCTTCGAGTGACCTGACTTGGAATCTTGCCATCCACAGGCGGCAGCTCTGAGCTAGTTCACCTGCTGTGGTCTTTGGTTTCCTTCTAGCCTTTGAAAACCAGGCTGAACTCTCGTGTGCTACCATACGGCAGAGGACAGCTGGCTATGTTGTGAGCCTTTCAACCTGAATCTTAAGGTGCCCAGGTGCTGTCTGTTTAGCCACAAGTGGTTATTTTGACTGATCATTGTTGTGCTGACTTTTTAACTATTTTTTAACTATTCGTCATGCCATTCTCTATTCTATTGGCACGCAGTTGCATTGGTTCTACCTTTTGTGTGTTCCAGGTTGGGTTACTACCGGTGCATTAGTTTGCTTGTTTGTGTATGAGCCAGAAGATGTATTCCTTTAGCTTATGTGTAGTTGGCACTCTTTGTTTACTGCCCCTAATGATTTTCTTCTCTCCTGAAGGTACTGTGTCCTATTTGAGTACACATGTACAGGCACTTTTCCATGACAGCCTGGGGAGTGTGTGTGTGTGCGTGTGTGCGCGCGCGCTCTTGGCCATTGGTGCAGTTGCTGGGGGGAGCCTTCACTGACTAGGTCAATTCCATCCTGACTACCAGTGGGGGGGGTGGGTAGTACCGGTTTCATGTAAGGGACTGGTGCTTGATTTGTCCTTACCCACTACTTTTCCCAGCTCCGACCCAGCATGACTAAAAAGACCTGCTTCTACGACAGTTAATGCCCTGCAATGGACCTCTCCAAAACTTTTTCTCATCTGTCGGACTGCGGACAGCAAGGTTTCACTCTCGGCCAGCACTGGGGTAGGACTGCAGTTCTTGGTCTTCCGTTTTTTTTCTTTTAGAAAGTGTTCTGTCCACCAGGTTTGTTGGGCAGCGTTATTTACACTGCATGAGCTGATAACACGCAGGCAAGCGGTGCAGTTGTGCGTAAGTAGGCTTTTTGTATTGCAGGTTGAGCCTGTTACATGTGTCAGGTGGTGGTGTTATTGGTTTTTATGTTTTCTGCCCCCTTTTGTTTTGCTGCCTCTTAAAGGAAGATGTATTATGTGCACAGTTACGACTTACAGGCATCTTATCAAGTATTTAACTTCCACTTTTCAAATGATCCGGTTTATCTGCTTTTGCCGGCCACAATCTGCAATGTACTTTATGCTCTGAAAACTCATTATGTTGAGTGGGACAGGGTGCAAACGAATACTTGTAAGCTTCCCAACATGTACCTCCCCCTCATCCCCTCCCTTCACCATCCTTTGTGCTTCTGATACTAATCCCAAATTAACAACCATTTGAGGCCTCTCCTGAGGCAAACTGTCAACAAAGCATTTTGGAAAGTATCCCAAGAACCCTGCTCCCTCCATCCCACTTAGCGATGCAGCTCAAGGGAAAAGGCATCGATGGAAACAGAGGCCAGGAACAAGCAATCTCCATCAATGTTACCAAGGCCAATTATATCAGGCACAGAGAATGCTTTTGCCAGTGTTACGGAGACAAATGACGAGCGTCAAGACATTTCATGTCTGACAGTCATGCTAACAATTCTGTTGTTTTTTTTTGAAAAAAAGCCACTTTGAAGCTCGCGGAGATTGTAGGTTTGTTGAATGAACTGAAATGCTGTGTCATCTCCCCTCCTCTTTAACAGTTTTGTGCCTGTTGGAAACCCAGCTCCTGTTTCCCACCAGCGGAGCCAGTGGAAAATAGCAACTCTCAGACTAGCTTCAGGTTACATTTTGTGGTAACTGGCGCAGCAACTGTTTCTCTTGTCCGTTTTTTTTATTTTTTTCTTTCTGTTGGAACTTTCTTTTTTAACCTAAGCCCTACCCCCACCCCACCCCACCCCCCATCCATTCCCAACTCATTTCCTCCCATTAAACCACCCCTCCCACCCTCACTGAACTCTCTCAGGGATGAGGTTCCAATAGGCGCCCCCTTCCCGAGTGATGCTTTTCCTTTTTGTTTTCCGTTCAGCGGCTGTCGGCAGCGCAGAGCGACGCGGCGCGGGCCAAGTGCGTGACCTCTCGACAGACGCGTACGTACGCGCGCGGGTACACGCACGCTTCTTCCCACCCCACCACCCTGCTCTCCCTTCCTCCCCGGGTTCTCGGGGGGCCTGTTATGGCAGAGAGGCGCCAGGCACAGCGAAGGTATCCCAGGGTGCACTGACAACGCGGCTGCCAATTTTAATACCCTGCTCTTGTCCCTTCCCAGTCGCCAATTTCGCCATCGGCTGAGGCTCGAGGGAGAGAGAAAGACAGAGAGAGGGAGACGGAAGTGCAGAGTATGCACGGAGCCAGAATGTTAGCCGCACCACCGAAAACAGAAATTTAAACTGACTGCTCCGTGGTGACGTGTGTAAGAATCTGATCGCAATCTAAGGAGGACTCCAGTGGGAGGCTGCCGCGTTGTCAGCTCCGGGAGACAGGTGTTCCCGTTTTGTGTGCAGTTCCACAAATCATGTGTTTGCATAGTTCCTCTAACATAGTCGAACTTGCTTGAGCGTTTAACAAGGTCAATCAAAATTTAACAGGGAGCCACAGGTGGAGTTGCTACCACGGGTGACCAACGGTTTGGTCACAGAGCCAGGTTTTAAGTCAGGACTTTAAAGGAGAATGGGAGGGAAGGGACTTCATGAGCTCAGGCTCAAGGATGACAAAAGCAGCGCAGTTATGGAACAGTGGAAATGGCGAGTGCGCAGGAGGCCAAAATTGAGGGAGCGCCAAGATCTTGAAGTTCACAGGACTGTAAGAGCCAAAACCCCTGAAGAATTTGAGTACAGCCATGAGAATTTTATAGTCTAGGCATTGCCAAAATGGGAGCCAATCTAGGTTAGCAAGCATGGGCAACAAAGGTTTGTGCACATTAGGATACTGACGGCATGTTTTGAACTAACTGGAGTTTAAAGGGTGGGATGTCAGCTAGGAGGATGTTGGTTGCAAACGTTTTTGGACATAAGACATCTTCTGTTGACCGTGAACTTGACTAGTGAGTGTGCTTTTTGTGTATTGAGTCAGGTTTAATTCGTCAGCCCTGTCTCCCCAGGAGCTGTCACTGGTTAAATGATCAGAAGCAAAAAAACCAGAACTCTCCGTCCTCTTAATAACCTGCAGCACATAGATATAACCTTGTTTTCTCCCACACCAAAATTTTGCTCACCAGTCTGGATGATAACTGATCCTGGGTTACTATTCTGCCAGGCCCCTGTGTACCACGCTGAAGTGGTAGACTCCAAAAACTGTACAGTCGAGAGTTGGAGCAGACAAGGCAGTGAAATTTCGACGAAATAAAAATCAATTTTTCTACCATCTTTTCTTCTCCCTTCCACTCTCTTGTCTATACCGTCACCCTTCCCCACCCTCCCTCCCCACCCCTCTTCCAGGTGTCATACTGATTTGTATATTAAAAAAAAGTCAGAGTATTAGAGGTGGCAGTGACTGTTACCTGAGCTGCTCGCTTTTGCGAGTTGTGTGTACATACTACTCCTGTGGCGGGCACCGTGTCTTTGAACAGTTTGTGATGTGCTTCCTTTTGCAGGTTTGGTAATACCCGTTGACGAGAACCGCGGTTTCCCCTGGTACACACACAAACTCGGGTCGTACGTTGTGCGGATTACACTCACCGTCGGGATTTAGCGCGGAGGACACCAGGGAAAATGCTATCTGTATACCTAAATATTGATGGTTCTCTTTTTTTTTTATTAAAAACAAAAAAAGAAATAAATAGCAGCAAAACATTTTCCCCCCCAATTTCCCAAGATGATCTGTGACCATTTTTTTTGCCTTTTTTTTGAAAGTTATGTATGTTGCAATTTTTTTCCAAAGAAAGAGAATAAAAATCATTTTTAGTTTTATGTTACTTGTAACTGTATTTTGTAATGGTGGAACTCTCTCTAATATGGAGTTGTCCTCTAGTTTGAAGTTGAATGTGGCCGTAATTTTGCCACCCTTGTAGTACCCTGCAATAAACGATCAGTATTTGACCTGATGCTGAGTTTGTGTAAAATGTTTTCCACTGCCAGTCTCATTTTGGAGGAAAGTGCACAGCAGTTTGCCAAGTGTTGGAAAATCCATCTATGAATCAGATCTATGCCATAACGACCAGGTAATAAATGCTGATTTAGCCAGTGACACCCTCATCCCGTTAAATAAATAAAAGTTTCATTCAGCAAGGAAAGGGGTCATATCCTCCTTATCTGAAGGTTGGTAAGCAATGACTGAACCCTGTAATCGAAGGACCCACTGCGCCTTTTGAGGACTTGGGTTTAAACCCCACTGGTGAAATTTTAATCTAAGGAATGGAATCTGGAATAGAACGATAGTATGGCATTGGGGACCACGAAACCACCATGAATTGTAAAAATTCTCTAATTTTTTTTAGGCGACGGTCTAGTTCTAATTTTAAGGAAATGCCTTTTTCTTCTGAACTTCTTTCTCCTCATCCTCCTAAGGGAATCGTATCTAACTTTCAAGTCCTATAATCATCCCAAATAATTACCTCAATGATTGTGGTTGCTGAATCTTCTGCACTTGTGGGAAGACAAGTGAACTTGTGCTGAGGTAGATTAACCTGCCTGGCAGATGTGCTTCGGAAAGCACAATAGCTCAGTAGTTAGCACTGCTGCCTCACAGCGCAGGGACCGGTGTTCGATTCCACCATCAGGTGACTATGGAGTCTGTGTGGGTTTCCTTCCACAGTTCAAAGACGTGCAAGTTAGGTGGATTGGCTATGCTAAATTGTCCAGGGATGTGTAGGTTAGATGTGTTAGCCATGGGAAATGCAGAGTAACGGATTGGAAGGGGGATGGGTCGGTGTGGTCTCTGGCTGAATGGCCTGTTTCCACACTATGGACTCTATGGTGCTGAGCTCTGTCACCTGCCCCAGGAGAGGTGAATGAGCTTTGCTAGGTAAGTACAAATGTGGGCTCCTCATCCCAACGGAAGTTTGGAGATCAGATGCAGTGATAATGTTACCAATTTGGGAGAAGAGGAGCAATAACAAGTTGCTGCAGTGACACGTTAGGTAACCGTGTTCACATACCAATCAAATGGATGGAACATGTTTATGCAGAAGCACCTTCATAGGGAGAGATAAGTTGTAAAGAGTTTCCGATGAAGTTCTACCTCCTCTTGCTTTGACTAACGTAGTTGTGTAACACAAAACAGACCCTTTAACCCAGGTTTCTTAAACTTGTCCCAATTGCCTGTATTTGGCCCATTGGTGCTAAACCTTTCCTATCCATGTACCTTTGCAAATGTCTTTTAAATGTTGTAATTGTACCTGCCCCCACCACTGCCTCTGAAAGCTCATTCTATACACACATCACCCTCTTGTGTGGAAATTGTTACCTATCGGGTCCCTTTTATATCTTTCCCCTCTCACCTTAAACCTATGTCCTCTAGTTTTGGACTCCCATTGGCTATTCACCTTATCTATGCCCCTCATGATTTTACAAACCTCTGTAAGGTCACTCCTCAGTATCCAGGGGAAATAGTCCCAGCCTCTGCTTATTCACTCAAACCCTTCAGTCTTGGTAACATCTTGTAAATATTTTTTGCACCCTTCTCAGTTTAACATCGTTTCTATAGAAGAGTTATCAGAATGTTACACAGTACTCTATGAGGCCTTACCAATGCTTCTGCATCAGTTAAATGACGTCCCAACTCCAGTACTCGCTGCTCTCACCAATGAAGGCAAGCATACCTAATGCCTTCTTCACCACCCCATCTACCTGTGATGCCACTTTCAAGGAACCATACATCTGCAACCCTAGGTCTCTGACAACATTCTCAAGGGCCTTGCCATTAACTAAATCCTGCCCTGGCTTGTCTTAACAAAATTAACACAGAATGTAATGAGTTACTTAATCATTTTGATCAATACAGTTGAGAGTATTACATCCATGAATAACAAATTTTGCTTAGTATTAGCCATCAAATATTGTAAATTGTCTTGAGTTCATTTTTAAACTCGACACTGAAGCAAGATGTAATCATATTGTGATAAGGAGGCAGTTGGAGCTAAGTTGGGTGCTGGAGAAACATGAATAAAGAGACAACCTGGCAATGTTGAACATTCTGAGAACCTTGCATGCAAGCTGTTAATAACAAATTGGCTGGAACAATGATGACACAAACTGACGTTCAAAATTTGCAAAGTGGCAACAGCCAGCTTTTGTTCTCATGGCTTTGGTTAAACAAGCAGGTAGGCCATTATTTGTTGAGCAGAGACTTGTAAACGACAGATAGGAAATGCTGTACAGACATGTTGCTAGAATATTTGATTCTCCAGGGGTCAGGAATACGGCCTGCAGCCGACTCAGTTGGGCTCTGAAGCTGAGGCAAATTTCTGAGCTCAAAACCATGAGTCAATCCGTTAAGTACGGCGTCTACAATGGAGGAAGGCACAACTCATGAGTGACTGGTGAAGGAATGTAGGGCTGTGGCTGGAATTTAGGTAGTACTAATTCTTGTCTCCTGTAAATGACCAGTTAATTACTTTTTGACAACAAAGTAACTTAGTATATTGGTTTGAGTCTCAAAGGATTCAATTTAAAATCTCAATGTATATACATCAAGACATCTTAGTATTCCTTCCTCCTCAATCTTTGGCAAGGGTAAGGATGTGTGATTGAGTTTCTCATGTGCTTAAGGAACAAAAGCCAAGACTTCCCAAGGTGGGGACTGGGGTCCAGAACTGCAATTTTGGTGTCACAAGCTTCAGGGCAGCAATGAGTTCCCACAGAGCTCTGAATTATAGCTACTTCTGTTCAAACAGATATGCCCCCTTGACTTGCACTCATAGGTCGTCATCACCACCACAAGAGCCCCTTTCCCCAATTTCTCCAGCTCACAGTTCCCACAGATTGATAACAATAATTTTTGAGCCTCGAAATGGAATCACAGTGGGAAAATGTTTCCGAAGCACCTGTTTACACTGCTAAAACCAAGTATTAGATTCTTATGGTCCAATTTGTATTGGCTACTAGCTTCCTTTGGGGTGTAACGTAAATTGCAACACTTCCTCTACAGCACCGAATGGTTTCTCACATCCTTGTAACAACAGAACAGTATGGCTTTAATGCATCTTCATTGTACTCGCGTTGCTAGTCTCTCTCTGACACAGTGCCAGGGTAGTGACAATTGCAGAATTTTTTTATTGCAAGAACATACTTTATACTTCATTTAAAAAAAATCTTAATGTCTATACACAGGTACTAATGCAGTTCTGTGCAGTTTTTGTTTTCATTCACGGCATGACAAGCTAGTGTTTATTACCAAGAGGGCAGTTCAGTGTCAATCACCATTACTCTGCGTCTGCAGTCACATGTAGACCTGCCATCAGCCATGGCAAGATTTGAACCAGGGTCGCCCAGAACATTACCATGGTCTCTGAATTCCTAGCCTAGTGAAAAAACCACCAGGCTAGCTTCTCCCCAGATCCAATTTGCATACAGAGAAAAATCAAACATTGGAATTTGACATTTCCTTGCAGTTGCAAAACCAAAGGCATTTCTTACGCATGCAGGAGACTAATTGCATACATTTTGAGGCAAATAGAGGCTCTAATAATTGAACAGACACTGTTATATGTTTGGCAAAAAGATCCTAGATGGTGGTCTTTCCCCACGTTGCTTTGGTGACAGCTTTAGTGCATCCCTCAGCATGTCATCCTGGACGTTGGAATGTGCCAGTCTGCCACACTCGGTCAAGGTCAACTCTTTATACCGGAAGACCAGCAGATTTTGAGCAGACTAAAGAAAGTCTTTCACCGAGCCGATGGTCCTCCAGGCACAGTCGATGTTTGTCTTGGTGTGTGTCCCGGGGAACAGACCGTACAGCAACAAGTCCTGCATCACGGAGCTGCTCCGGATGAAACTTGACAAAAACCACTGCATCTCTCTCTCTCCACACCTTCTTTGCAAAGGTACATTCCAGAATGCAGCATGTATCAGTCTCTTCACCAGTGCAGCTGCTTTGAGGCTAGCATGCAGTGGCACACAGAGTCCATGAACCATCTGACGGGCACTGCCTTTCTCACCACTAGCCAAGCTATGTCTTGGTGTTTTTTGGAAAGTTCTGGTGATGAGGCATTCTGCCAAATGACTTTGACAGTCTGCTTAAAGAACAATCCGACAGAATCCACACACACCTTTTCCCACACGGTCTTCAGGATGCTAAATGCTGACCACTTTTTTCACCCCCCCCAAAGAATCCCTAGTGTGGAAACAGGCCATTCGACCCAACAAGTCCACACTAACCCTCCAAAAAGCATCCCATCCAGACCCACCCCCATCCCCCTACCCTTTCCCTGATAACACAGTGTGGAGCTGGAGGACCATAGCGGGCCGGCAAGCCTCGGAGCGCAGGAGCTCTGACGTTTCGGGTCGGGACCTTTCTTCATGTTTTCTGAAGGGTCCCGACCCGAAAGGTCAGCTTTCCTGCTCTGATGCTGCCTGGCCTGCTGTGTTCCTCCAGCTCCACACTGTGTTATCTCTGACTCCAGCATCAGCAGTTCTTACTATCTCAGGATAAGGGTGATGTTGGGTACGTCTTTATCCAGAGCTTTCAGAATACTGGACTGTGCAAGCCTAACATGACTGACCTGAAGACATGGCAAGTTTCCTGTACAGGGATAAAGGAGTGAGGGATATCCCATCCAGGTCACTGTTGCTAGCACTATCCTGTGACCTGAAGATTATATGACTTAGCCAAGAACTGCTGAACTTCAATGCGAAAGCAGCTTTGAAATGGCATCATTAGTCCTTCGTGTTCATCACTCTGAGAGAAGTTTTATGCTTTTTTGTCCAGCTTATTTGATTTTATTTGGTGTTCCATATTTAGATTTCACCAATTTTCTCTCCCTGCAACTTCACCCAACTCTGCCCTTGCTTAGTTTTAGATTACCCTACCCTGGGAAAAAGATCTTGCCTATTTACCCTATCCTTGCCCCTCATGACTTTATAAACCTTTATAAAGGTCACTCCTCAGCCTCTGTTGTTCTGTGGAAAATAGCCCCAGCCTATTCAGTCTCTCCCGATAGATCAAACCTTCCAACCCTGGCGACATCCTTGTAAATCTTTTCTGAACCCCTTACAAGTTTCACAAATGCTTCCTATAGCAGGAAGACCAGAACTAAATACAATATTCCAAAAGTGACCTAACCAACATCCTGTACAGCTGCAACATGACCTCCCAACTTCTATACTCAATGCACTGACCGATAAAAGCAAGCATACCAAACGCCTTCTCCGTTCCCCTGTCTGCCTGCAACTCGGCTTTCAAGGAACTATGGACCTGCCCTCCAAGGTCTCTTTGTTCAGCAACACTCCCCAAGGCCTTACCATTAAGAGTACATGTACTGCCCCAATTTGCCTTTCCAAAATGCAGCACTTCACATTTATCTAAATTAAACTCCATCTGCCACTCCTCGGCCCATTTGCCCATCTGAACAAGGTTCTGTCGCACTCTGAGGTAAACTTCTTCACTGACCACTACACCTCCAATTTTGGTGTCATCCACAAATTAAACCATCTAACCATGCCTCCTATGTTCACATCCAAATCATTTAGCTAAATCATATAAAGCAGTCAATCCAGCATCGATCCTTGCAGCACACTGCTGGTAGAGCATAGATTTAAGGTGAGAAGGGAGAGACTTAAAAGGGACCTAAGGGACAACTTTTTCACACAGAGGGTGGCATGTGTATGGAATGAGATGCCAGAGGAGGTGGTGGAGGCTGGTACAATTACAACATTTAAAAGGCATCTGGATGGACACATGAATAGGAAGGGTTTACAGGGATATGGGCCAAATGCTGGCAAATGGGACCAGATTAATTTAGGATAGCTGTTCGGCATGGACGTGTTGCATCGAAGGGTCTGTTTCCATGCTATACAACTCTATGACTCTATCTGCTACAGAACCCATCATCCTTGTTTTTGTTACCTCAAAGTGTAAGCATCCCTAATTGCACCATGTCTCACGCACGAATAACTATGTTTACTTCCCTCCATCGGCTGCTTGTTAATCTACACCTCAATTTTGAAATTCCCAACGTTGTTTTCACACTCCTCAATGTCCTTGCTTCTGTTTAGCTCTAATCTTTCCTCCTATTCTCACAACCATCTGTGATCTCACATTCATTTTTTAAAATTCATTCTTAGGATGTTCTGCATCACTAAGTCGGTTGTATATTGCCCTTGAGAAGGTGGTGGTGAGCTGCCTTTTTGAATTCCATGTGATGTAGGGTACATCCAAATGGCCTGTTGAGGGAGTTTCAGGATTTTCAACTAGTGACAGTGAACAAACACGCATCAGGATGGTGCGTCACTTGAGGAGAAACTTTCAGGTGGTGGTGTTTCCATGCATTTGCTCCTGTTGTCCTTCTAGTTGCTAGGTCGTACTGCGGTAAGTTGCTGCACAGCATTCTGCAGATAGCATACACAAAATAGGTGCAACTATGTGGCAGTGCTGGAGGGAGTCATTGTTGATTAGTTCTACATCTTAGGCTGCAGAGTAGGATGCTTCAGCTGGAGTTTGTCTGCTCCACCCTTTCTTTCTCTTCTCTCTTTTTTCACTTCATGTTTTTTTCTTCTCCTCCCCTGGTCTCTGACAAATCCCAGCCTCTGGTCAACCCCCAGTTTCCAATCAACTCCCAGCCTCAGTGCAGACACGACAAGGGGTCCTCTTGGCCTGGTGTAGTGCCCCTCCCTCCCAATTGCGGTGGCCTCCTGGCATGGCATAGCCTCAGCGTGGTCACCCCGTCTCAACGTGATTCCAGAGTGATCTCCCAACCTCGTGAACCTCAAGGTGAAGCCCAGTGCAGTCTGAAGCCAAGGGCCAGTGTGGACTGGAGGCTAGATGCCAGCATGGTCTGGGCTGGAAGGCTATTGTTCTGAACTTTTATTTCTGGACTTTTTATTTCTCTATTTTCTAAGATCTTTTAACTGATGAAGCTGTACCTAGGTACCTTTCTGCCCAAGATGGCACTGTAAATGGTGACTTATACACTTTCACTGTACTCATTTGAGTACATGTGACAATAAAGCTAGTTCTCATTCTGATTAATACTATTTAGAGCTTTCCATTTCTGTTCTAATTTTATTCCAAAGTCTTGTCCTCCTGAATGGAAAAAGTTGATGAGAATGGTTCCTGAGATAAGGTACTTCAGCAATGTGAAAAGATATAAGCGGTCGATATTGTTCTCCTTGCAGAGATTTGATAAGGATTTCTAAAATCATGGGTCTAGACAGAGTAAATGGCAGAATAGCCTGTTTCTGTGCTGTAACTATACTGTGCTTCTATCCCTTATTTAAAACGCCCCACCATTGACAGATGGGTACTTAACTGCCAAGGACCCAAATTCTGGAAATCCCTCCTTTCCTTGATCATATATGTCTACAGCACATAAAAATGTCCTTCAGTCTGTGCCAGTCAATGTTCTCATCTTGTTTTCCAGCACATGCCCCATAGTGTGCGTCTAAATACTTAAATGTTATGAGGGTTTCTGTGTCTAACACCATTCCGATCCAGATTCCCACCACCTTCTCGGTGAAAACACTTTTTTTACATCCCCTTTAAACTTCCACTGCCTCTTCCCTTAAATCTACGATCCCCTGGTCACTGATCCCTCCCACCCAGGGGAAATGTTTCTTCCTGTGTACCCTGTCTATGCCCTTCATAATTTTATCCCTGTCAGTTATGTCCCCCCTAGGCTTCAAGGAAAGCAACCCTAGTCTATGGAATAAAACACAACAAAGAACTGCACATGCTGAAGATCTGAAACAAAAACATAAATTGCTGGAGAAACTCACCAGCTCTGGCAGCAGAAAGCAGGGTCCAAATGCCCTTTCTTCAGAACTGTACTTGAATTTCTGTTTTTGTCCCAGTCTGTCCAATCTCTCTTCATAACCAAAACTGTCCAGCCCAGGCAGCATCCTGGTAAATCTCCTCTGCACCCTCACGAGTACTGTCACATTCTTCCTATAATGTGGATTCCAGAATTGCACACAATACTTTAGCTGTGGCTTAACCAGCATTTTATACTGTTCCACTTTGATACTATTAATCCCCTAAGACGCTTCTTGAAACCTTTGGTCATCCATCCTGGTATAATGTGTCTCGATCTCAGAGATTTGTTTAATGACTCCTTGTGGAGGGAGCAAGGAGGACGACGTGCCCCTATCTGCATCAATGGAGCTGAGGTGGAGATGGTCGAAAGCTTCAAGTTCCTAAGAGTGATGATCACCAACAGTCTGTCCTGGTCCACCTACGTTGACGCAGCAGTCAAGAAAACACAACAACACCTATCTACCTCAGGAGGCTAAGGAAATTTGGCAATGTCTGTAAAGACGCTTACCAATTATTATAGATGCACTATTGAAAGCATTCTTATTGAAAGCATTCTATCTGGGTGCATCACAGCTTGTTATGGCAACTGCTCTGCCCAGGACCGTAAGGAAGTGCAGAGAGTTGGGGACACAGCTCAGTCCCTCACACAAGCCAAACTTCCATCCATTGACTCCACTGATACTTTCCACTGCTTGGCAAAGCAGTCAACATAATCAAAGACCCCTCCCACTCCGGTTATAATCTCTTCCAACCTCTTCTGTCGGGCAGAAGATACAGAAGCTTAAACACATGTACCAACAGATGCAAGAACAGTTTCTTTCCTGCTGTTATTAGACTCATGAATGGATCTCTCAAATTTCAAATCTAATGGACCTTGCTCTGTTCTAGTACCCTGATACACTTTGTATGGTAATGATCTGCCTGTACTGCAGAAAAACAAAACTGTACCTCGGTATATGTGACAATAAAAAAAACAGATCAAAAATGTTCTTTCCAAGTGCAATGTTGTTGCTCAGTCCTTTTTGAGACTGAATGGGCCTATTCCAACCCTCAGAGTTATCCAGCACGGAAACAGACCCTTCACTCCGACTCAACCGTGCTGACCAGACATTCTAAATTAATCCAGTCCCATTTGGCCCACATCCCTCTTTTCTGATGAAGGGTCTAGGCCCGAAACGTCAGCCTCTCTGCTCGTATGATGCTGCTTGGCCTGCTGTGTTCATCCAGCCCTGCACCTTGTTGTCCCTCTGAACCCTGCTTGTTCACGTACCCATCCAGACACCTTTTAAACGTACCAGCCTTCGCCACTTCCTCTGGCGGCTCATTCCACCCTCCGCGTGGAAACGTTGCTCGTTACGTCCCTTTTTTTAAAAAAAAAAAATCTTTCCCCTCTCACCTCAAACCTACGCCCCTCTAGTTTTGGGCTCCCCTGACCTCGGGGGGGGGGGGAGGGGAAAAGGCCTCGGCTAGCCACCCAATCCGTGCCCCTCACGATTTTATAAACCTCGGCAAGGTCACCCCCTCAGCCTCTGGGGAAAACATCCCCACCCGCCACCCCAGGCCCTATTGAGCCTCTCCCTTGTTAGCTCAAACCCTCCAGCCCTGGCACCATCCTTGTCAATGTTTGCTGCGCCCTCTCAAGTTTAACAGGGAGGCCAATCTCTCTCCAGTCGTTGCTGTCATTCTTCTTCTTCTCCTCGTTTCAAACCTCCCCCTTCCTGCTGCTTGTCGGTTTTCTGTGAGTTGTTGGGGAAGATGGAGGAGGGGGGGGGGGAACAGCATCCTTTTCCTTCAAGTGGAAGGTTTTGGTTTGGGTTCGGCCTGGGCAGGGACCCAACCGCCTCAAACATGGCGCCGGCCGCGGCCGTCACGTGACAGCCCGGAAGGCAGGGGCGGGGGGGGGAGCGCCCACCGGAACCGGAAGGACGGACGGACGGACTGACTGACTGACGGACGGACTGGTGCGGCGGTTGGGATGGGGGAAGGAGATAGGCGACGTACCGTGGGGTGCGTCCTCCCCCCCACACACACTTCCAGGGCGATAGGGAAAGGTCTGGAAGATGGAGGCAGAGTGAGTGGAGGCTCAGGTAATAAAGTGCACGAACACGCAGCCTTTGCCTGCAAAATAATATAACTGCAAGCTGTAATTTACTGTGTCATCCCGCAGGACGGGCAATGTATCCATTGGCTTATTTCCTGTCAATTTAAAAATGCTAAAATAAGAATAACGTGCATTATGCCAGAGGTGTTAATCATGTCTTGTCAGTGTAGATGCATTTAACAGAGAGAGAAACAATGCATGTTCGCATTCGTGCTTGTAAATTTATAAAGTAATATGTGCATAATGGAAACATGCCAATATATTGTTTTATTAATTTAATGATTTAACCCAGTTGCAGGAAAGTTTTTTTTTTGTTTAAAAACAAAATGAATTCTACAGTGCAATAATGTTATTGTGCTCATCAATCAAGATAAGTGCATTAAGTTCTTGGAATGAACTGAGATGGTTGATTTTGGATTGGTGTGGACGTGGATTTTTGAGAGGAGCTTTGGTAAGATGTATTGTAATACATTTGTTAGCAAAGATAAAAGCCCTCGAGGTGAAACCACCTGTCAGTGTTGGTATGAAATTGAATATGGGACAGAGAGCCACCATTTGATTTGATTTGATTTGATTTACTATACTATTGTCATGTACTTATGTACAATGAACAAATTTGTGTGCAGTTCAGGTAGATCATACCATACAAAGGTTGTAGGGTGATAGAACAGGGTGAGGAGTACAATGTTACGACTGCAGAGAAGTGGAGCAAAAAGCAAGCAAGTAGATTTAAGCGAATATTGTAAGTAATTTTAACAGGCTTAGAACTGAGGTTTAAAAGAGTTGAACGATTGTTAAGAAGTGTGAGAATAAGATCTGTTGTAAGGAGCTCACAAAGGGTCACCATGTGTCAGTGCCATCTTGAATCCAGTACTGCTCACTCTTTGCGATTGTGGCTGGTTCTGATAGTGATCTCAACTCCACCTTCCTGCTTTATCCTCTCCCTCATCTCCCTGAAACATGTATGTAGTAATGAATCTTGGATAAATAAAAGGGAAATAAGTAGAGGGCTCCAGGAAAAGGGCAGTAGAATGGGCTAATCTAATGCTCTTTCAAAGTGGGATGTTCAGCTGAAAGGGTCTCGTTTTGTGCTGTATCATTTCTCAATTGTGTGAGCCAACCGTTAGAAATAATGTATAATTGAAAGAAACGGATCCTTTTAAGTATTCTGAATTCCTCCATCAGATCACATTTCCATTATGGACACCACATCTCTTCGTGTTAGCCTCTAGGTGTAGGTGCATCTCTGATTCAGTAAAATGATCCCAGTCTTTAGAAAGTTGTGTGACGAAGGAGGGTTATATAAAAATTTTGTTCCCTTTGAATGTGTTTTTAAAATGACACATTAAAATGGATTTCAATATTAAAAGGATTTGATAGGATAGATGCAGAGAGACGATCTCCTCAAGTAGAGCAAAATGATGACAGTAACATTTCTTTAATGTAATAAAACACACAGGGCTGCTCCTTAGGAGTTTTTTGAAGTAACATTTGACAGCAATCCACATAATCATCTTGCAGCAGATTGCTGAAAGTCTAATCAAACCGGTAGGGTTGAAGGAGTATCCAAAAGGAAGAAGGACAGACAGAGGGGTTGGGAGTGTAGAATCCCAAAACTTTTGACTGCAGGCAACTGAAGGCATGGCTGTTTAGCAGGGGAATGACTCTAAAATCTGAGTGAACAAGAGGCTGCAATTAGAGGGTCACAGATATCTGAGGCACAGACTTAAAATTAGTTAAACCATTAAGGGTGGAAATTAGGAAGTTAAATAAAGGTGTGAAGGGTCGTGGAGTTGACGTACAGAGAGGTTGGATCTGATTGAATGGTGCACAGGCTGGAGGGAGTGAAGGACCACCACGAGCTCCCCTCCAAACCACTCACCAAAGTGACCTAGAAGTATACTGCTGTGCCTTTATCAAGGTTGGTTCAAAATCCTGGAACTTCCTCCCTTATAGGTTTGTGGGTCTACCTACATCGATGGCTTACCACCCCCTGCTCAATTAGGTGTATAGGCAATAAAGTCTGGCCTTGACATTGATTCCTGCACTTCCATAAAATGTTTAAATCAACCCTCTAACAGTTTGTCTGCTTAACTGCTCTTGCTTCCAAATTTGGTGCACAGATTTCCAGTAAAACATTTACTTTCTCCTACTGTGGCCATTCCCCTTTGTAGAGCCTGGGATGCTTGTTCCTTAAAATCTCAGGGACCCAGACTTGCATGTATCTGGTGCACAGCTAATTTAGTCAGGAAGTGTTAGGTCCCACTTTCTTCTGGCAAAATCACCCACTGCTCCAGGTTCAGTTGCTCTGATTCAGGATAGCTGCTGAGCCATATGCACCTCCTCTCCCGTTGAAAGAAGGAAACAGTTTTCGTGGCAACTTGCCTGGTGTTTGACCTTGTTACATCCGCCAAGTCCTTGCAGCAGCTCAAAGCCCTGCCCATCTTCTCCACAGCTCCGTGCTTTGACCCGCGCTCTCTTGTCCGGGCTTCCCAAACCTGCCGTGGCACTGCACCAGAATTTCAAAGGATGTCTTCAGCAGCCGTAGACCAGGGGCTGACTTTTCTTTTCCCTTCCCCACTGCCCTGCAAACTCGTTTACAACCACCACACTCCTCCAATACCCGACTTGATGGGACTGACAAAACCCCAGATCCCACCTGACTGGTAAATTTGCAGCATGGGTTCTTCCCCGGTCCCTGCACCAGGGCCTCCCAGACGTATTCCTGACTCAATGCTGTTTTAATATCCAGGCCTCATCTCATGTGACTCCAGAATAAAATTTGCAGTGGGTTGTTGTTTACTGGGATCAGGCCTGGAGGAATACATGTCGACATCAGGTCAGAAGGTGTGATTTAAAATTCCTGGGTTGGCTCTGCAGGAAGTAAAGAAGCACCATGTGCTGTGGATTTAAGCAGGTACTGGGCCTCCAAGATCAGAGGATGAGGCTGTGCTTACCATCAGACGAAACAGATGCAAGCATTTGAAGGGAGACTGAGCTACGGAAACTCAGTTTCAGAGTTTGCAACCCCAGGATCGCAACCCACAGTAGTTTTGGGATCTCCTCTGTCTCACCCGCACTACGGTGTTACTGATGGGAGTATTCTTCCTCCTCCGGCCTGCTCGTGTTTTCTGATTGCAACATCCCCAACATGAGATCAGCCCCTGTCTGTACACTGACCTCTATGTGCCTGCCACTCCCCATTCCTGTACTGTCTCTGTGTTATCAGGCAGCTCACATGATGTCCAGGTGAAAGCAACAAGCTGAGAACTCAGTGATTAAAGAATTTGGGTGCAGAGGGGCCAAGGAGGAGATCCTTTAATCCAATCAATTGGTTTAAAATACACCAAGAATTACTTCAAGAAAGTACCTTTGGAAAACAAGATCAAACAGTGGTGGCAAGATGCCACGTCCCAGCATGTAGGAATTTGTGGAGAGAGCTGTGATTCTGCGGTGAGTGTCTATAAGTGAAGCAATGTTGGCTTGGGGTTGTTTGATTGGAATTCGAAGCGCAGTGATGTATTAAAGAGTGGGAGAGTTACCAAGGGTTGGTGGGGGGTATTTTGATCCAGGAGGCAGTCACAATGCAGTACAGCATTCCCTCAGTAATGTCCCCAGTAGTGTCAGCCTTTGATTTTTGTATTCAAGACCTGGATTGAGTTTGGAAAATGGACCTTCCCAACTCAGAGGCAAGAGCCCTAACAACCGAGCCATTGCTAACAACTCGAAGGGTAGCACCTTTTGTCTTAGTTATCACCTCTGCCTTGAGTTAGAAGGTTTCAGGTTCAAGACCTTGAGTGCAAAAGTAAGGAAAAATTCAAAGTTTAAAGTGCCATCAAGCACAGTAGTGTTATAAGTAACTTGCAGCAAGATGTGTCAGTGAGGTACCAAAAGGTTAGCAATCGTAAAAGGGTGTTCGTGACTACTCTGCTTATAAGTAGACACAACGTTAGACAGGAAATCAGAGGAGCACATAACATGGGCAATGAAGTAATCCTGGGAGATTTTTAACTTACTTCATACTCTGCAAACCAAATTGTTTAAAAACATCTCTGAACACACTCAAGCAATTTCCTATCACATTATGTTGAGGAACCCATTAGGGTTGAGGCTTTTTTAGATGTTGTATTGATGTTGCGGTCATTATAATCTTTAAAGCTTTGTGACTGTGGATCAGCAATGGCAAACATTTGAGAGATAATTCTGAACTGCACCTTCGTAGCGCAATTATGGTGAAGAAAAAGAGACAACGTTATTGTTGACCGATGAAGTAGTGTATAGTGCAGATTGGGAGGGTTTTGTGCCTAAACTTGTGAATGATGTGATGATAGGCAATTGGTGAGGAGGACAAAGTTTTCAAGGGGATATAGATAGGTGATGGGCCAAAAATTTGGCTGACAGAGTGTAATGTGGGAAAATGTGAGGATGTTCACTTTGCGATGAATAGAAATACGGAATATTATTTTAATGGAGGGAAATGAAATCTTTGCCATAGCATGGAAGAGTACTCGGTAAAAGACAGGTTTGTATTCCTGCAGCTTCTTTCAAACATACGGATTAGAAGTGGGGTAGGCCGTTCAACTCCTCCAAGCCTGCTCTCTCAGTTGGGGCACGCTGAGTTGGTCCTTGAGATGAGCGGGTTGTCCTAAGATCTGAGGCTGAGCAAATTGGAGCTGCATTTTCACTATGATCTCACTGAAATATGTTTAACCTTTGCTCATAAGACAATCCCCTCCGTACCAGGGATAATACCAGTGAACTTTCTCTGATCTGCCTCCAATGAAATAATATCTTTCCTTAAATAAGGGGACCAAAATTGCTGTCATGTGGTCTCAACCAGCATACTGTACAATGGCAGTACAGACTTCCGTACTCTTATACTGCAACTCCCTTGAAATAAGGGCCAACGTTCCATTAGCCTTCCTGATTACCTGCTGCCCCTGGGTGCTGGCTTTCTGTGTTTCATGTGCAAGTATCCTCCAGTCCCTTTGTGTTACAGCTTTCTCCATTTAAATAATGCTGTGCACTTGTTGTCCCTTCCAAAATAAACAACTTCGCATTTTCCCACATTATACTCCAGTTGCCACCTTATTGTCCATTTACTTAACCTATCAGCATGTCTCTGTAAACTATTTGTGTCCTTCTACCTTTCCACCTGTTTTTTGTCATCTGCAAATCTGACTACAGCACATTATCTTGCTTCCTCCATGTCATTTAATATATATTGTAAACAGTTGCGGTCCCAGCATTGATCCCTGTGGAACCCCACTGGTGACAGGTTGCTAACCTGTAAAAGAAACCCCTGTCCCCACTCACTGTTTCCTGCCAATTCTGTGTCCGTGCCAATATGCTACCTCCAACACCATGGGCTCTTATGACTTAACCTTTTGTGAGGTACCTTGTCAAAAGTATTCTGGAAGTCCAATACAACACATCTACTGGTTCCCCTCTGGTTGAGGCTTCCTTGAAAAACTCTAATAAATTATTCAGACACAATTTCCCTTTCCTGAAGCTGTGCTGGCTCTGCTCGACTAGAATCTGATTTTCCAAATGTTCTACTATTGTTTCCTTAATTGATTCCAATACTTTTCCAACAATAGATAGTAGGCTAATCAGCCTGCAGTTATCTGCTTTTTTTTTCCTTCCTCCCTTTTTGAATAGGGGTGTCACATTGGCAGTTTGCAAATCCTCTGGTACTTTTCCAAAAACCCTTGGATTCTGGCGAATTACAATCAGTACATCCACTGGCTGTGTAGCTGCCTGTTTTAGGAGCCTAGGATACAAACCATCAGGGCTAGGGGACTTATCAGCCTTTAGCCCCATGATACTTGTAATACTACCTCTCTAGAAGCATAGAATGCCTACAGTGTGGAAGCAGGCCATTCAGCCCATTGGGTCCACACTGACCCTCGGAAGAGCATCCCACCCGGACTTGCCCCTTACCCTACCCCTGCATTTCCCTCCCTAGACACGATGGGCAATTTAGCATGGCCGATCCACCCTAACCTACACGTCTTCGGACAGTGGGAGGAAACCAGAGCACCCAGAGGAAATCCACGCAGACACGGGGAGGATGTGAAAACTCTACACAGACAGTTGTCCAGGGCTGGCATCGAACCCGGGTCCCTGGCGCTGTGAGGCAGCAGTGCCACCCCTAAAATCAATTATGGGATGTGGATGTCATTGGCTGGGTCAGCATTTCACACCCATCCCCAGTTGCTAAGAGTCAACCATGGTGGCTGTGGGTCTGAAGTCACATGTAGGCCAGACCAGGTAAGGATGGCAGTTTGAGTATATCAGATGGATTTCTCCCACTAACAATCATCAAGCTGTTAATTCCAGATTTTCTTTCCCCCACTATCTGTCGTGGTAGGATTCGAACCTGGGACTCTCGGGTCTATGGATTAATAGTATAACGATAATAGGCTGTCGCCTCCCCTACCTCCCTGTCTAGTGATGAGGGTAGTACTTCACTCCTCTGCTGAATTCTTTTGTATTAATGAGATGTTTGAAGTATCTTCCACTGTAAACACTGACGCAGTACATTTGTTTAACTCCTCTGCTATTTCTTTGTTCCCCAAAACCATCTGAGCAGATTTATTTTCGCAGCGGCCTGCGTTCACTTGGATCTCTGCCTTCCGTTTTTTTGTAATATATTTATGGAAGTTCTTATTGTCAGTTTTCATTCCTTGCTAGCTTGCCCTCGCGGCTTGCTTGCTTTCTCTCTCCTCATGATGTCTTTAGTCCTGCTTTCGTGGATTCTGAATTTATCCCAGTCTTCAAAGATGCCACTGACTTTTGCCTCCTTAAAGGGCTGCAAGCCTTTGGAATTCACTAACCTGAGGAATTGTTCCACGGTTGGATATACTTAGGACTGTGATAGCCAGATGTTTGGTCACTCGGGGAACTGATGGTTAAGGGAAGTGGAGTTGAAGCAGCCACGATCCTATTGAATGGGGGAAGCAGGCACAAAGGACTATCTGGTCTGTTCTCCTCTACGTTTATAGCCTTGTGAAACTCTGCCCTAGTGTTTTGGAGATAACAGTCTCTTTAAAAGCTAAACGGTAATCTATGAGCAGATAACAGCATGATAGGAGGAGAGACAGACGGTTAATTATTAATTTATGTGATGAAGATTGCATGCTGAATGCTGGCTGAGCTGAGCAGGAGCCAAGATTTTGCATCCAACAAATAAAAATGGTTGCAGGGTTCCTGTGGCGCAGTGGTAATGTCTGTAGCTCTGAGCCAGAAGGTCGGAGTTCAGGCCCAACCTCCTGCATGCATGGACCACTGATGTGTGCCATAGCATATCCCAGCAGGCTGTTTTTAAAGGAATGGCTTAAACAGTGTGCAACCAATTAGCCTCAGCGGTGGCAAATTCACGGTGTGAATGTATTGCAAAACAAGAGGTTGTTCCACAAGGTGGAGTGTAGAAACAAGTTCAACTGAGTTCTGCCCCTCAATATAATCCCTGTACACGAGAGAGCTGATGATTGTAAACAGTGATGTGCTGGTTTTATTCTTTATTCTTGTGGATGATTATCTGTTGTGCATGTGATTGACTTGAAGGCTGCATTGTGATCCAGGCGTGTTTCCCCGAGAAGGTTGGCTCACTGTGTCTCTGCTCTTTCCCTCTTGTCTCTCTGACAGAAAGTAGCTTCCCCAGAGTCTGCTTGCTGCAGAATCCAGCTCATCCCCTGTCTGTGTCGCGGGCCGTGGTGGCGTTGGGGGGAGAGAGAGAGAGAGAGAGAGAGAGAGAGAGCAAGCGCTGCGGCAGCTTCCACCTGGCTGAGGGTTTAAATGGAGCGGGAGATCGAGCGCGGCGCCATGGCGGAGTCAGCAGCAAGCACAACTTCAACCGTCACCGAGACGGTGGATGGAAACCAGCCCGCAGACGTGGTGAGTGGGTCTGGAGACAGGGACCGTGGCGCACAGCGAACCGGTCTGAGCGGCTGTTAGTCAGGGGGTCAAAGTAATTGGCTCGGGACAGATCAAACAGGCTGACGCCCGCCCTGATTCGTCCACTGGTGAGAGTAGGACTCCAGAGGGATCACCTCTTTAAGGAGTAGGGAAGTCTTGGAATTCCTTTGGTGCCTTTCACCGTCGCAAATGTCCTGGAGTGTTTGCCGGGCAGTGAAGTGCCTTTTCCACTTATATTGTTGGAAGCCAGGCTGGGGCACATTCGGCACTGCAGAATCCCAGGAACCGCGTGACCTGGTGGCCACATAAATCTGCTGGGGTGATGTTGGTTTGAGGGGTATAGGTTGGCCAGGGAACCAAGGAGAAACCCCACTCTTATATTCTTCGAAATAAGAGGCACAGAGATGTACAGCACAGAAACAGACCCTTTGGTCCAACTCGTCCATGCTGACCAGATATCCTAAATTAATCTAGTCTCATTTGCCAGAGTTTAACCCATATCCCTCTAAATCCTTCCGATTCATATAGCCATCCAGATGCCTTTTAAATGTTGTAACTGTACCAGCCTTCTCCACTTCCTCTGGCAGCACGTTCCATACACACACCACCCTCTGCGTGAAAAAGTTGCCCCTCAAGTCCCTTTTAAATCTTTCCCCTCTCATCGTAAACCTATGCCTTCTAGATTTTGGAACCCCCCTACCCCAGGGAAAAGACTTGGCTCCTCATCTTATCCATGACCCTCATGATTTTATAATCCTCCATCAGGTCACCCCGCATCTTCCGATGCTCCAGGGAAAACAGCCCCAGCCTATTCAGCCTCTCCCTATAGCTTAAACCGTCCAGTCCCGGCAACTTCCTGGTAAATTTTTCTGAGCCCTTTCAGGTTTCACAACAACTTTTCTCTATCCAAGAGACCAGAATTGAACGCAGTACTCCAAAAGTGGTCTCACCAGTGTCCTGTACTGCCGCAACATGACCTCCCAACTTCTATACTCAATGCACTGACCAATAAAGGCAAGTATACCAAACACTGCCTTCATCACCCTGTCTACCTGTGACTTCAGAGACCGTGGGGGTCGTCTTTCCCTTCTGAGAGAGGAGCCTCAGTTTGTCACCGCTTCAGAAAGAGGGCAGCTCCTCTGACAGTGCAGCACTCCCCTCTAATGCCACGCCAGGAGCATTGGCCAGGGTTTGGCGCTCGGGTCTCTGGGTTGGCATGGAACTGTTTGGCGAGAGTGCGTCCCGGCAAGTCCCACCCGATAGCGCTGGGCGTGGCCGGGGAGTGACTCTTCAGTCTGTTGAATGGTGGTTGCCTTGTCTGGCAATGCAACGTCCACTGATGAGCTCCTTTCTGCAGGAGAACCGCAGCATCACCATTAAACTGAGGAAGCGCAAGACCAACAAGAAGGTGGAGTGGACGAGTGATACCGTTGACAACGAGCATCTGGGCCGTCGCTCCTCCAAGTGTAAGTATCCCGATTGCAGGTTTCCAGTCCAGACACAGCGATGCAGGCCTTCACTCCACTAATTCCACCTTGGCAGTAAAGCCCAGAGGGCAGTGAAAGAGAACTTTCCCTTGTTTTAACACCGATCTGGAATGCAGTGCTTGAAAGGGCAGAGGGAACAAATTCAACAATAACTTTTCTTTTTCCCCAAAAAGAAACACTTGAAGGGGACAGTGTTTACAAGGGTATTTGGTAAGAGCGTGGGGGGGGGCTTTTTATTTCACGCGGTGTGTCTTGCTGGCTCAGCCAGTATCTGTTCCCAATCCCTAATTGCCCCGGGACCAGTGACGGTGAGCCGTCGTCTTAAAACGTAAATGTGTACGTAAACTCCACTCCCTCTTTTTCTACGGCGTGGCTAAGGTCAAGGCACATTCTCTCAAACAGGAAAGCAGGGCAGACAAAACAAAAATCCGGATCTCCCTGGATGAAGGAGATAGAAATCAAGGTAAAGAAGAAAAAAAATGTGTTTACGTTGAGCGTTATGCAATTATGAACCGAGCTAAATACAAAATATTCAGGAAGAAGTTGGGGGGATAAAAAGCAAATAAGAGAAGTAAAGAGGGGTTTATGAAAAAAGACTGGTAACCACCATCAAGGGGAATTCCGAAGTATTGAAGAGACACAAAAATAGTGTAAGGGTGGTAAAAGGAGCAGGGATGAATAGGCCCCAAAAAGGGAACATCATAACGTTTTACAGAATCGTTACAGTGCAGAAGGAGGCCATTGGGCCCATCATGTGTGCACTAGCCATAGCGTGGAAACAGAACCTTCATGCCGACCATAATTCCAAACTAAACTAGTCCCACCTGCCTGTGACTGGCCCAGATCTCTCCAAACGTTTCTTATTCATATACTTATCCAAGTGTCTTTTAAACGTTGTAACTGTACCTGCATCCACCACTTCCTCTGGAAGTTCGTTCCACACGCGAACCACTCTCTGTGTGTAAAAAGAAAAACTGCCCCTCATGTCCTCTTTAAATTTTTCTCGTCTCACCCTAAAAATATGCCTCTTAGTCTTTAAACCCCCCCACCCTGGGGAAAAGGCACCTGCTATTCACCTTATCTATACCCCTCATGATTTTGTAAACCTCTATTAGGTCACCCCTCAACCTGTCTAGATCTCTGAGCATTTTGATTTTGACATTTAAAACTTTGGCTTTTCCTCCCGCACATTATTTCTCTTTGATTAATCATCCATTGCCCTCTTGAATGTGTCATTTGAATTTTCTTCCAATGCATGTTCAGACAGTACATTCCAGACCCAAACTACTCGCTTTGAAAATTTTTTCATTCTTGTCTTGCATTTTGCTTCTTCTGCAAATCACTTTAAATCTACACTCCCTCACTCTTGATCCTTTTACAAGCAAGGACAGTTTCTCACTGTCTGCTCCCACAATTTAGACCTCCCTTCAATCAAATCTGCTTTCTCATCTCCAAGGAAAACAGTCCCAACTTCTCCAATCTAGCCTCAACTGAAGTGCCTTAACCATGGGTTCGTTCTCATTCCAATGCATCTACGTCCTTCCAATGGTGTGACTGCCAGGCCCTGTACACGGTATTTCTGTTGAGAGCTAACTGGTAATCTGAAAGGTTACAGAGAAAGTGTGGGAGAATGGCACTAAGCTATAATGTTCGTTTGGAGAGTTGTTGTGGACACAATGAGCTGAATGGCCCTCTGATTTTCCAAGTTGCATACACTTTACAATAGGTGAAGGAAAGAGAGAGGAGTCTCTGTACTGAGTCTCGTCAGCTCATCTGCTGCTCAGCTTCTCATTCACGTCTTTGTTATGTCTAGATGTGATAGTTCAGGCTGGTCTCCCACATTCTTCCCTCTGTAAGACTTGGGATCATTCCAAATTCTGCTGCGTATGTTGGTTTTCAGTCAAGCAATATCTTTAATTTTTATCTTTCTTTGCAAATACCCCCATCACATGCTCCATTTATCTAATTAAGTATACTCAAGGCCAAGAGAGGATTTTTAATCAGTCAGGGAACCATGGGCTTTTAGGGACAAGGCAGGAAAGTGGAGTTGAGGATTATCAGGTCAGGTATGTTCTCATTAAATGGCAGAGCAGACTCAATGAGCTGAATGTTCCTATGCCTTATGGTCTCGTTGCCCCTTCGTTATTGCTGTAATACCCTCCAGACCCATCCACAACCCACCAAGGTACCAGTCTTCATCTAATTCTGGCCTCTTGACCATCCCGTTTTTCCGTTGTTGTTGGCTGGAATTCCCTCCCTAAACCTCTCCTAGACCTCCCTGCGTCACTTTTCTCCTTTTTAAAAAAAGAAAACACCTTTAGGTTTTGTTTATGCAACCTAATCTCGTTTCGTAGCTCAGTGTATTGTTTCCCACATCTCAGGAACGTTAGAAGGCTCCTTTATTCTTTCATGGGGATGCTGGCGTCACTGCTGGAGCTGGTTTTTGTCCCGAATGGCCCTTGGACTTGGGGAGGCTCGTTGAGTTGTTTCAGAGGGAAGTCAGTGTCACAAGTAGCCCAGGCCAGATGAGGATGACTGATTCCCTTCACTGGAACGTGAGCGAAGCAGATGGATTTTTTTTAATGACAATTGATGATATAAATTACTGAGACTCCAGATTTTATTTTCAATTCATTGTACTCTGATCCCATGGGTGGTTAGTATGGGATTTGAAACAGTGTTTCCAGGGGGTTAACCTGGGATGACTGGTCTAGCAGCATTCCCACTATGCCACTATAAATGTAAGTTGCTGCATTTGTTGTTGCTCCCTGGTTCCAACGGTGGGAGATCGCGCTTTCTATCTGTGCGTCGACTCTCCGTCAGTGACCCCAGCTCCAAGCAGTGAAAGGGAAGCGTTTGATTTGACTTGTTGTTGTCACATGTACCTAGGTCCAGTGAAAAGTTTTGTTTTGCGTGGAGTACAAGCCATACCATACAGAAATGATAGGGTGATAGAACAGAGCGAGGAATAGAGAGTTACGGCTGCAAAGAAGGTGCGCAAAAAGCAAGGTCAACATGAGATTTGAAATTTAAGAGGTCCGTTCAGAAATCTAGTAACAGTGGGGAAGAAGCTGCTCTTAAACCTGTTGGTACATGTGTTTAAGCTTTTGTATCTTGTGCCTGACAGAAGAGGTTGGATGATATAACCAGGGTGAGAAGGGTCTTTGATGATGTTGGCTGCCTTTCCGCAGCAATGAGAAGTGTAGATGGAGTCAGTGGATGGAAGGTTGGCTGGTGTGATGGTCTGGGCTGTGTTCACAGCTTTCTGTTAGTGTCCTCCCCACACTGACCTCCCACCGACCCTCTGGATCAGGGGAAAGCACGTGCGAGGTGGGGTTGCTGTCGTGACATTTTTTTTTAATATAAACCAACCCCGCCCGCCCCCCCCTCGCTGTTTCCAGGCTGCTGCATCTACGAGAAGCCGAGGGCGTTCGGGGAGAGCTCGTCAGAGAGCGAGGACGAGGACGGCGGCTGCGGGAACGCGCACTGCGTCCGGGGACACAAGAAACCATTCCCTGGAGGAGCCCTGCACTCCACCGAGCACAACCACGGCGCCGAGCACTCGAATCACGGACTCAGCCAACCGCCGGAGAACTGATTGGGAGGGAGAGAGACTCGGGGATGGGGTGTGTTTTCGAGGGGGAAGCTGGAATGGATGGACGGACGGACGGATGAATGAAAGAGTATGGTTCTGGCGGAAGGCTTGCCCCCTCCGTACGGACCCACTCTCCCAATCTCTGTGTGACGGGACGACCTGACTCGAAGGGTCTTGATGCGAGGTTTGCTTTTGTTTTAGAGGAGAGGGTTTTTTTTTAATTTAAGAGAAAGCAGATCTGTAAATTCACGATGGCGTTTGTAAATTTATTTGAGGGGGAAACCTTTCGCTGCTTGGTGAGGGTCCTCGGATGGGGTGCATGCAGCGCACGGCGAGGGGGAGGGAGGGGGGTGGGGGCATGACCCGGTAATCAGGTTTGCACGAGGCAGATCACCTTTGGGCATTTTTTGTAATCGGTGGGAGGACTCGGGCAGAACCGAACCACTCTGTTCAGCAAACGCAGTGCAGGCGGGCAGAAACGCTCGGAGACCAGCCTCGGGCAGAATGTGGTTAGGATGGTGACGGTGTCATAGGAGCCACTGATTCGTTTGGTTGGGGGAGGGAGGGAAGGTGTGTGTCTACATTGGAGCATCACTATCCCAGTGGAGGGGTGGGGGTGTCCGTAATAGAGGGTCAGTGGGCCGATGGGTTGGTGGGGGGTGGAATGGAGGGTCATTGGCTTGATTTTGGGGGAGGGGTATCTGTAACGGAGGGTCACTGTCCTGATGGGAGGCGGGCTCTGTAATGAGGGGTCACTTGCCCAATGGAGGGGGGGGGTGTGTCTGTAACGGAGTGTCACTGTCCAGTTCAGTGGGCTTTGTAGATTGTGGTAGATCAAATCCGTGATGTTTGTATTTATTTTCCACGGGCTCTCTGTAATACTGGGGAATTATTCTCTGTCAGATGGAGAGGCTGCAGAGTCTGTGCACACGGTTTGGGCCAGCTGTTTGCTTTGTGGCTGAGAGATGTGCTTGAGACACAATCAGTGGTTGGGCTGAACTGAACTGCCTGCCCTCCCAATACCTGCAGGATGCCCGTACGGTGTGGTCCGATTCTGCTCTGCTTATGATCATTGTTACTGAGTGTTTAACACTGGGGGAGGTGATCCTTCACTGTAAGATGTACTAAAATAAACAGTCTTGCCGAACATAAATAAAAAAAAAGATGTGAACTTGGCTTGAACTTAGAAACTGGCCAGTGAGCAAGTCCCAATCATGAGGCTGGGGTATGAGAAAGGTGATCAAACAGTGTGATCAGCAGGTAGGGATCTGAACAGAATGAATCTCCTGGCGCAAAGATCTGCCCCATTGTGATTGAAGCCCTGCGTTCTTACACATCACTGTTGACAAATTCTGGTAGATACTGACGGATCTACAGAGAAAGAAAATTTCCTTAAATTTCACCCTCAGCTGCTGCTTCCCCCCCACCTACCGCCACACACTCGTATTCCACGTCTGCCTGTTCTGTCAGTTCTGCCCCCTTTGCTGGGAAACAGTGCAGATCATCTGATCGTTTCAGCTGTGCTGCTTGTGTGGGATCTTGCTGCGCTAAAATCGTGTTCCCACACCCCCGCCAATCACTGAATGCTAGAGGGACACCGAGGTGATGGTGGGTGGCGGGGGGAGGGATGGCCAGGAGCTTGGGAGATGCTGTTGCTACTGTGCACACCTGGGATTGGGTAACTATGAACCAAAGACTTGAACAGAGACCCACACCATCATTTCTCCATTTACTGCGGGGGGGGGAAGGGAGATAACTCCATCACCACCTGGACACTCTAAAGAAGACGGAAGGATAAGACTGGAGCAACGCCCTGGTACGGGCAGCACCTAACTCGTCGAAATTGTTAAGTGATAAGTGGCCACTTTGGAAGCCCCACATTTTAAGGTAAGTGGTGATCCTGAACTTTACAAATACAGGCATCTTGTGCAAAAACAAGGAAGCCGGGGAAACCGAGGATTGGATCCAATGTTGGGTGACGCACCCTAGGAACGGTGTAAAGGTTTTACAGGAGTAGGTAACCATTGGTTGAAAAGGGAAGTCAGGGACAGCATAAAAGCAAAAGCATGCAATGTGGTGAAGATTAATAGGAAGCCAGAGGATTGGGAAGCCTTTTAAAAACCAGCAGAGGATAACTTTAAAAAAAAGGCAATAACAGGAGAGAAGAGATGAACTATGAGGGTAAGCTAGCTAGAAATATAAAAGAATATTGCAAGCTTTTTTTTAAAACCAATGAGGAGGCTGCAGAAGGACAGGCCAGGACAGTGGGTAAAGGTAGAATACAATGTGGGAAAGTGTGAGGTTACTTTGGTTGGAAGAACAGAGACACAGACTATTTTTTTGAATGGGGAAAGGAAATCTGAAGCACAAAAGGGACTTGGGGGTCCTCGTTCCGGATTCTCTTAAGGTTAACAGCACATTCAGCTGGCAGTTAGGAAGACAAATGCAATGTTAGTATTCGTTTCAAGAGGACTAGATTACAAGAACGGAGATGTACTACTGAGGTTGTGTAAGGCTCTGGTCAGACCGGATTTGGAATGTAGTGAGCAGTTTTAGGTCCCGTATCTAAGGAAGGATGTGCTTGCCTTGGAGGGAGTCCAGAGGAGGTCTACAAAAATGATCCTAGGGATGAAGGGGCTTGTCATTATGAGGAGTGGTTAATAGCTCTGTGTTGGTACTTGATGGAGATAAAAGAATGGGCCTGGATAGAGTGAACGTAGAAAAGATGTTTACTCTAGTAGGAGAGATTAGAACCTAAGGGCACTGCCTCAGAATGAAGGGACAACATGTCAGAACTGAGATGAGAAATTTCTTCAGCCAGAGGATGGTAAATCTGTGGTTGCTGCAGAGGACTGTGGAGGCTAAGTCGCTGAGTATATTTAAGACAGAGATAGATTCTTGATTAGTAAGAGGATCAAGGGTTATGGGAGAAGCCACAAGAATGGGGTTGAGAAACATATCAGCCGTGATCGAATGGCAGAGCAGACTCAATGGGCCAAACAGCCTAATTCTGCTCCTATATCATGGTGTTATAACTGACTGTGGAAATGCTGAAGTTTTGTCTAATCTAACAGATATTAATTACAGCAAACTATTATCTACAAGCATCATATCCACAGGTACTACTTATAGAGTCATCCAGCTTGGAAACAGACCCTTCAGTCCAACTAGTCCATGCCGACTACATTCCCGAACTAAACTTGTCCCACTTGCTTGTGTTTGGCCCATGTCCCTCTAAAACCTTTCCTGTTCATGTACTTTTCCAAATGTCTTTTAAATGTCATAATTGTACCTACATTTGCACTCCCTCTGGCAGTTCATTCCACATACAAACCACTCTGTAACAAAGTTGCTCCTCATCCTTTTAATTGTCCTCTCACCTTAAAAATATGCCCCCCCAGTTTTGAGCTCCCCCACCCTAGGTTTTTGCTATTTACCTTATCGATGCCCCCCTTGATTTTATAAATTTCTGTGAGGTCACTTCTCAACATCCTATGCTTCAGTGAAAAAACTCCCAGCTTATTCAGTCTCTCCTAATAACTCAAACACTCCAGTCCTGGTAACATCCTGGTAAGTCTTTTCCTAACCCCCTCCAATTTAATAATATGTTTCCTATAGCAGGGTGACCAGCACTGGACACAGTACTCCAGAAGAAGCCTCATTTACCATCAATGGAATCTCCGTGGCCTAGCCCTTCCATGTCTTCGTCATGTCATAGAGTCAAAGGCTCAGAGAGACCTGCTGCACAGGAAAAGGCCCTTCGGCCCATCGAGTCTGTGCCAGCCAAAAACAAGCACCTAACTATTCTAATGCCATCTTCCAGCACTTGTCCCATAGCTTTGTATGCATTGGCATTGCAAGTGCATATCTAAATGCTTCTTAAATGTTGAGAGTTTCTGCCTTTACCACATTTACAGATGGTGAGCCTCGAGATGAATACAAAACTTTTGCTCACATCCCCTCTAAACCTTCTACCCTTTACTTTAAATCTATACTCCCCCCACCCCCCACCCCCACCCCTTTCCATCAAGGGGAAAAGTACTTGTCTGGGATAACATTAAACTATTAGATTACAGCAAAACAGCATTTACCCAATGGAGTGTCATGCTTCAAGTGACCTAAGCTATTATGAGACATTTATACGCTCAGGTCACATTCTAAGATAAGGCAATGACTCCGTGAGCCTGTCTCTTAAGGCAGACTTGCACAGCAACATCCTTTCCCTAATGGTAAGAACTTACCTCAAACACACACAGTTGGTTGTGCACAGGTATGTGATGTCAGTTACATAAGCAGATAGATCAGAGTTTCTAAGACTAACCTTTCAAAGTTCATTATAATGCTTTGGAGATTTGGCAACCTGTCTCTATCTGATGATTGTGCATCCATCTGGAGAGGTACATGTTGTTTCCTGAACTTATCTTACTGCCACGCGTGGTCACTCAACATCACTGACGATCATCATCCAAGTGTTATTCCTCATTATCTTCATTGGTCCGCTGTACGTTGATCTGAGCCAGCTTCTGATCTTTCATAATGGGGTACCATGACTTTGTATGGTTTGGGATCGTTGCACATTTTAGAAACTTCTGGTGGTATCCAGGTATTTTCTCTTCGGATTTCTAACTTGCATTGACTGCCCAGTGTGCAGTTCTACCTGCTCACTCGTTGTGTTTCTCTTTCATTTTGCTCTGCCTTTGAAGATGTTCTGTGTCTTAGAATGGTAAACCATTGGCTCCAGGGCAAGGTCAACCCCCACTGAATTGCCTTCTGAGCATTAACTGGTAATCCCTGCTCCACTGGTGGTGCACAGACCCTGCAGTTCTGAGGAAGGGTCACCGGACCCGAAACGTTAACTCTGATTTTTTCCTTCACAGATGCTGCCAGACCTGCTGAGCTTTTCCAGCAACTTCTGTTTTTGTTCCTGATTTACAGCATCCGCGATTCTTTCGGTTTTTATTAAAGCGAAAAGCTTGCTTTGCTCAAGACTTTAATGATTATTGATTTGAGAGTGTGTACCATATGTATCTACAAACCATTTCAGCACAGAAAATGGGGTGACAATGTGACAGGGTCATACCCACTGAGTACACCTATCTTGGAACTGATTTCCTGGTGTACTGTGGCACACTCAGACACTGTGCTTTCCAAGATACCAAATACATGTCAGCGATGGTCACCTTGCTCAGTTGTGAACCAATGTGAGATTTAGGGAAGCAATCTATCCCCAAGGCTGCAATCTTCCTCATCAGAACATAAGAAATTTCTTGAGGATCAGGAACAGGTAATTAAGCCCCTCGAGCCTGCTCCACCATTTAATACAATCGTGGCTGATCTCATCTCAGCCTCAACTCCACTTTCCTGCCTGCTCTTCCCGACCCCTTCAACCTATTTCTCATTAAAAATCTGTCTATCTCCTCAAACTTACTCATTGTCCTGGCTTCCAGACCCTTTGAGAGAAATGATTCTCCTCACCTCTGTTTTGAATCTGCTACCACCTAAGAGTTCTTGTTCTAGATTGCCCACGCGAGGAAACATTCACTTGATGTCCACTTTGTCAATTCCCTTTAGCATCTTATATGCTTCAACTAGAGTCACACAGCACAGAAACAGACCCTTCAGCCCAAACAGTCCATGCAGAACATAATCCTAAACTAAACTAGTCCCACCTGTCTGCTCCTGGTCCATATCCCTCCAAATTTTTCCTGTTCATGTACTTATCCATCTGTCTTTTAAATGTTGTAACCATACCTGCATCGAGCACTTCCTCAGGAAGTTCATTCCACATGTGAACTACCTCTGATCTCTCGTTCTCCTAAACTGCAGAGAGTATAGGCCTAAACAGCTCAATCTCTCTTCATAAGACAAACCCCTAAACTCTAGAATCAACCTGGCGAACGTGCATGATGAACTGTTGCTACTTTTGTCCGAGGAGCGGACAGAACCTAGTATGGTTGTAGAGGCTCCCTTCGCTGCTGAGTTTGACATATTTGGCTTGCCTTATTCATGAGTCATGGAATATTCTCGTTCATCCCAAGCTGTCCTGTAGATTCTCACACTAGCCATCATGTGCTTTCAACACCTATGTGTCCCTGGTGCAATGTAGACATAGTGCTCTGGTAATGGGATTTGTTGGTCCTTGAAAGTGGATCTGTCGTGATATACCAAGTCCAGGTCGATATGGTCAAATGGAAAGTAACTTCTCAGTTACTTCTTTGGTCACGGACGGTCAGATAGTAGTAATGATCCACTGCAAATCTCACAGTTGCTCATCTTCAACAGTTGCCACTCTGGCTCTTACCAAAGTCTAACAGATCAATCTTGAGAATGCCATCAACTGGTCTTTGTGTGGACTGGTGTAATGTGCTCAGCATTTCGGACAGAATCATCCTGGGACCTAGATCATATCTCACTTCACATTCTTGAAAGTCTTGTGTTAAGTTCTGCCACATTTGGGTGCGGTTTGAATCTCGGGTATTGTGACTACACTCAGATCTGTAAGCCTGAAACTGGTGTACAATTGGTATCTACCAGATAGAGGAAGTCAGGAAGACAAGATCAGCTTGTACTCAGGCAACACGTAGAATTGGTGATCCCTTACACACCATAAGAAGTTCCTTCATAGGCTGAACCATGGAACGCCACCTCCTGAGGCACATGCCTTTCAGGATGTGTACTGGCAAGATGCTTTCACAGGCTCCCATGTCAATTTTAACTACTGGCGTGTATCGTCCTGCCTCTTTCGGACATAATACATTAATGATTGTAAAAGTCTGTGATTGCTTTATTTTGTCAATTTATGTTGTGCGGTGTTAACACTATGGAAAGCTTGATCAGCTTCTGAAATGTGTCTATTGTTTGGTTGATTCTGGATCGCGCTGTGTTTACGTTTTGTGTTCATTCTTACCACTTACCTTGCCGTTGGTAAGGTGTTGTACCGTTTTGCTGGTCCCTTGTGTTTTGTTCTGGGGTCTGGCTTGGTCCTTCAGGCCAGAATTCTTGCAGTGCCACATCTTTATAGATGTACAACAAAAGCTGGCCAGCATTAGGCCAGGTGTTACACATTTTGTTTGCTCACATGCCTCGCTGACCATAGCAGTAGTGTTGCTACGC